ACCCAACCATGGGGGCTCTGGGGGTGGAGGCCACTGGACTTCTCCCCTCACTGTTCCTCCCCCACCAAGCTCCCCAGAATGACCCACGCGCCAGAGGTGACACTCAGGCCAGGCGGCATTCGCAGACTCGCACACAACTGCAGGGCCACAGGATAAAGGAGAAGGGGGCAGCCCCATCTCATGGACAGCGTCCTTGCCCAGGTCTTCCCTGCCTCCCTGGATGACCGCAGGATGCCCCTGGCCAGTCTCCTTTCCTCCCATTCTCCATCAGAGCCCAGTAATTAGTCATTACTACTTTTATTGTTAGAGTGGAGATGGCCATAGGCCTGCTGATGGCCCGGTGCCATGTTGGGATGGGCACAGAGGAGCCCACGGGACCTCGTGCTCAGAAAGGGCCCAACGCTTCCCTGGGTCATCTGTTTGCTCCCTTCCGCTAAAGCTCCCCGGCGGGGTGGAGCCTCCTCCATTCTCAGCTTGGGTCCCTGGCCTGTGACCCATGAGCCTTGCGGCAGTTCTGGGCCTGGACGCACCCCTGCGCCCTGCTGCAGGGCCCGCCTCGTGTTTCTGCCTCTTTGGCCAGTGAGGACAGCAAACAATGACCGCGCTTCTTGTTGGCTTTAGGTTTTCAAAGGGCCTTCCTTACAGATCCTCACAACTTGGCTATGAAGACCCCCATTTTACAGATAAGGAACCTGAAACAGATCAAGGTCACATGGGTAGTAAGTGTCTGAGGCTGGATGGACTCAGGACTTTCTGTCTCCAGGGCCAGAGTTCATTCCCTTGCATCTACAGCTGCCAGGAGGGAAGGGAAGGAAAGAGCTTACTATGCGCTGTTCTAAGCACTTTTTAATAAATAGTTGATCCCCACAACAACCCTTCAAGGTAGGTGCTGTTATTATCCCCATTTTGCAGTTGAGGAAACAGGCAAACAAAGGTTAAATGACTTGCCCAGGGTCACACAGCAACTGAATGTCTGAGACTCGATTAGAACTCAGGACTCAGAGGAGAGTTGAGGAAAGTAGGGCTGGGGCTGGCAGGAAGAGCTCAGGAACCACAGTTCCTGTCTTTTGGAAATGAAAGGGTTAAGTGCTCCAGGGAAAACTGAGGCCCTTAATTACCTGGATAATGCAAACACAACCCCAGTAAGTGCACTCAGCCAACGCGCATCTACAGTGTGTAAGAGGCTGAAAGGAAAAAGGACGGCTGGATGGCATCTACAGTGTGTAAGAGGCTGAAAGGAAAAAGGACGGCTGGATGGGTGCGATTAGGGCAGAAGGGAGAACCATTTGAGCAATGGGAAACCCCAAGGCTCCCCCCAAGGAAGAAAGGGGCGGATTTCAATAGGCCAAGCTCCTGAGGGGGCCGTCTGGGGCATGGAGGCAGCTGGCCAAGCGTCAGGAGGCGGGGGCTAAACACCGCAGGCCGACAGCTGGGGACAGTGGAGCAGACAGGGGGAAGTCAGGCAGAGGTGGGGGCCCGAGTGGCCGCACTGGCCTTGGAGGGAGCGGGGAGCTGGGAGGAGCAGTCAGACCAGGCCTGGTCTCAAGCACATGTGCCTCCTTTGCCGTCAGCGGGAGTTGCCTCTTCCTTGCCCACCCCGTGGTCTCCAGACCCTCTTCCCTCGTGGTGGCCAACTGGTGCCCCCGCAGAGCCCCGTCTCTGCTCCAGGGCCAGGTCAGTTTAATCTCCACTGTCTTCTCGGTCCCTCTGAGGTCTCGGCGTGGGGGCCGCTGGGATGTCCAAGCCCCTCTGACATCGAGCCATCCACCCCGGCCCAGGCCCACAGTCTGCGCCCCCGGGAGCCCCTCCACCTGCTCAGCTGGACGGCCGCTAATGAGATCCGTGTTAGGACCGCCTTCGGGAGCCAGGAGGGATCTCCTCCACACACCTCTGGCTCCATCTCCTGGTGAAAACGCGCCACAGGCGCTAGAGAGGAAGCCCACGAGCACAGTCCCCTCTCTCTCTTTCCTCCTGACCCTTTCTTCCTTCTTCCTTTCTTTTCGCATTCGCTCCACCCCAAACTGCCAGGGCTCATAAAGAGAAGAATGCGCTCGCCTTCCGCTGCGGCCTCCATCAATGGCCAGGACAGCCCTGATGGGCACGATAAAGTCAATTCAATTTCCTTTTTCAATTAATGGCCAATTACCTGAAGCAGACTCGACTAAAAATATTGCTCAGATACCATTAATCCGTCAGGAATTAACTGCCTCTCTCTCAGGCCCAGGGACCTCACTCCCCTAAGCCCGGCTCCTTGCTCCAGCAGCCACTCCAGGCTCAGCTCTCGGGACGGTTTCTGTGGGGAAGTGGTCGATGGACCGAGCCCACGGACAGCCGTCCCCTGTCCCTCACACACGCATCTTTACCCCTCTCCCACATCAGCTCCCCGTGGTGGGCAAGAACACGCCAAGGCTGATCCCAGCAGAGATGTATTTTGAGTTAGACCCCTGGGGCCAGGACCATGGTCCACAAGGCTAATGGCCAATGGGATTGTCACCCTACCTGCCACTGGCCCAAGGCTGGGAGGGGCTCAGGCAGAGACAGAACCAGACCCAGGAGGCCACACAGAGACTCATAAATGTTGGCCCAGGAGGGAAACTGAGGCAGGGGGGCGTCCATTGAGCAAGGGTCAAAAAGACAGCATGAAACTGAGGGCTGAGGCCAAAGCTCAAGGGGGGGAGCGTCCCGCCCCCAGAGGGCTCCAAATAGCTAGATGCCCACCTGTCAGGATGTTCTACTGGGGCTGGATGCATTAGAGGCATGGCTTTCCCAGCCTGCAGCTGACCCCAGCCTTCCAGGGGTGCCCATCACTCCTTTGAAGCCAGGACCCAGCATGCCAACACTCCGAGGGGACAGCCATCCCAGGCACCTTGAGGAGGCATCACAGTGACCAGGGACGGGAAGGTGCAGGCAGGTTGTCCTGGGTGGGGTCTGAAGGAGGGCTGCACTCTGGGGTGGCACCCTGAGTGGGACTGCAGAGCACCAAAGGGAAGACTTTCTGGGCTCCTCTCTCAACACACGTTCTTGGGTGAGGTAGAAATCTCCCCTGGAGTCAGGCCCACTTGGACACCCCAGCAAGCAGAAGGAATCTCTTGTTTAGCAACAGCTAACGCAGGCCATGAACGGCTCCATCCTGGATGGTGCCTAAAATCCAGCCTCCGAGCTCCTGCCCGAGACCACTGAGGGGCAGGGCCGAGAACTGGGCAATCACCAAAAACTTCATGTAGGAGGCAGTGCCTGGGCTGGGCCTGGACACTCAGGCTGGGCCCTGGCTGAGCCTGGATACCTGGGCCAGGCCTGGATACCTGGGCTGGGCCCTGACTGAGCCTGGATACCTGGGCCGGGCCTGGATACCTGGGCGGGGCCTGGATACCTGGGCTGGGCCTGGATACCTGGGTGGGGCCTGGATACCTGGGTGGGGCCTGGATATCTGGGCTGGGCCCTGACTGAGCCTGGATACCTGGGCTGGGCCTGGACACCCGGGCTGGGCCTGGACACCCAGGGTGGGCCCAGGCTGGGTTTTGAGAGGTCAGGATTGTAGCATTCATTCCTGGCAGCCTCCACAAAGGCAAGAAGACGGGAGATGGGATGATGCATCCTGGGACTAGCCAAGCAAGTCTGTTTGAGTGAGATGGAAGGGGCCCAAAGGGAGAATACCAGGAACCTGGCAGGTGGAAGGGGGAGGACCAATCCCAGTGGCAATAGGGGGTGGGGGGAGAGGAGAGACTCCTTTTGAAAAGGGGGTGTGTCCTGGTCCAGAGTGTGGCATGACATCAGCCTCGATCTCCCCTCGTGGATCTGCACCCCAGACATTGCTCCCAGACCCTCAGGCTTCCACAGGGCAATAAGCATGTCATGCAGGAAGGACAGTGGAGCAGCAAAGCTGTCCTGGAGCCCTGAACCACGAGCTCCCCTGCCAGCCGAGGCCAGCCCCATTGTGGGCGTGGGCCCTCACACCTCCCCCACACGCCGCCACCGCCAGCTGGAGCCCCTTGGGGAGCTCACCCCAAGAGCAGCCACCGTGTCCTGATCTGGGCAGAGTCTCAGACGTCTCCGCCACCCCCTCCAGGGTCACCCTGGCCCAGAACCAGCCACGCCGTGGGCCCAAATCTAGCAGGAGGCTGTGAGCCCTCCGCAGGGCTCCAGCCCGTGCCACGGTGAGAGAGGGGCCACGGAGGCAGCCACGAGGCAGCCATCACCTCCTCTCTTCCTGCCACTCCCCGACTGACCAGCTTCCCAACTGCTGCAGCCAACCCGTCCCCGCATCATCTGCCCTCCATCCACCCCCATCATGGACATTCATTCTTTCCCAACCAGACCTGATTTTACAGCTGCAACCTGTCGTTGGGGCTGGCCTTTGCACGGAACGATAGACACGGTGCTGCCAGGCTGCCTCTGGGGGCTTCCTGTCTACTAGCTCCCCTCACGTGGCTCCCTCCCTCCCACGGAGTTCACAGGATCAAAGGATCTGAGATCAGTCTGAGACACGTCCTTAGAGGCCACTGAATCCACCTCCCTCATTTTACAGCCGAGGAAACTGAGGCAGAACAGGTTATGCAACTTGTCCAAAGTCACACAGCTATAAACGTATGAGGTAGGACGGACTACAGGCCCAGCGCCTTCTCTGCCAACCCAGCAGGAGTCATGGCGGCTAGGGGGAGGCAGAAAGGGCTTCATTCTATGGAACACAAGCAAGCCTCCCTTGGGCCACAGGTTTCCAGACATGATGTGCACATGTGGGGCCTCACCGTCCATAACTCGGGTGTGGTACTACCCCACCCCCATCCGCCCGGCGTTGAGCAGCAGAGTTAGCAGGGACAGGGGACCAGGGACCAAGGCCCTCAGGCCCCCGGCACAGCCCACTCCCACCATGTCCTTGGGGCCGGGGCCTCTCTGTGCGGCTGACCTCAGGCTCCTTGCTCGGTCCACTCCCACCATATCCTCAGGAAGACCCTGGCCCAGAGTCCCACCCTCCCTGGGAAAGGCGATGCAGGCTGACTCACCGTGAAATGCTCCTGAGATTTGTAGTTCTCATCCAGGTACACACGCGCCCGGTTATACTCCTTCATGGCGTCACTGGAGAGGAGCTCTCTGGAAGACAAGGGCTACCGTGTTAGCGCAGGGGAAGCCTGAGGTGGGGAGGGGGCAGCAGCGGCGGCTTCCCGATGATCAGGGCAGGGACACCGCACCCCGGCCGAGCTGCTGCAATCAGAGGGGCCCAGTCTGGGGGTCTCCAACGAGCAGGTGGGACTGTGGAAGCCCCCGTTCTCCCTCTGGGATCCTCCTGGGAGCGGGTCTAGTCTGACCCTCTCAGGTTAGGCAGGGAGGTCTGAGGCCCAAAGCAGATGAAGGTGGAGGTTCCGGGTTTGCCCACATTTGGAAGGAAACCAGGAGAGAAGGCACAGCTCAGGGCCCCTGGTGGGGCAGACGCGGCTGAGCCTGAAGGGCTGCAAAGAAGGCGACCATGGGCAAGGTCCCTGGGTCTAGACATGGCTGTATACCTGTCAGTCAACTCGGCCAACAGAATCAAATCTCCTTTTGTCTCTGTATCCCTAGTGGTTAGCACAGTGCCTGGCACGCAGTGGGCGCTTAATAAATGCTCACTGGTGGACTGGCTTGTAAGAGGAGAGGGATGGACAATGTGGCCTAGAAGGTGCCTCGAAGCGCTGACCTAAGGCTCCCCGGGCCTCAGGACTCACAACTACAAATGCACCCCGCTCTGACTGAGAAAAAACAAAAAAAGAGGGGAAATACTTGAGTCAGAAACTCCATTAGGACCCTCCTCTCTAAGAAACCCACAAAAAAAAATTCACATATGAAGACGCAAAGAAGCTACTGGAAGGAAATCACTTTTAATCTCTCAGGCCTTGGGGCAGCGAGGTGGTGCAGTGGATAGAGCAAATCTGCAAGCATTTCTTAAGTGCCTGCTGTATGGCAGGGGCTGCGCTAAGGGCTAAGGATGCTTAGAAAGCCCCCGGGCCTTTCCTCCTCTGGATGGAGAGAGGCTGCTGCCCATCCCCCACCCCCACTGGGCCTGGCCCTGAGACCATCTCCAGCTTTGGGCTCCCCTGGAGACAAGACCCTTCCAGCTCCTGACTCCAACGGCCTCCTCCAGGACAATCAAGGAACCCGCACTTCTCCAACAGGCTCCCATCCCTCTGCCTCCTGGCATCTCACAGGACACAACAGCTCCACCGGCCAGGAGGCTGAACTTTGGGGGGACTGTTGTTCAATCATTTCAGTCACGTCCGACTCTTCCTGACCCCATTTGGAGTTTTCTTGGCAGAGATACTGTAGTGGTTTGCCATTTTCTTCTCTAGTTCATTTTACAGATGAGGAAACTGAGGCAAACAGGGTGAAGTGACTTGCACGGGGTCACACAGCTAGTAAGTGTCTGAGGATGGATTTGAACTCAGGAAGATGAGTCTTCCTGATTCCAAGCCCAGTGCTCTGTGCACTATGGTGCCACCTAGCTGTCCCCTGAACCTCAAGTTTGCCTCAACTGTCTTAACTGCCAAACTCAATGACCTTTTCTCATTCTTCATTCTCCTTGACCTCTGTACCCATGCTGTGGCTCACTCTCTCTTCCTGGATACTCCTCTCTCCAGGTTTTCAAGACATCATTCTCTCTCTCTTGGTACTCCTCCTACTTCTCTGTCTCCTTTGCTAAATCTTTATCTGGGTCATGCCTGCCAACTCTGGGTATCAGGCATGCCTCAGCTCTCGTGGCTTCAATTATTATCTCTGTGAAGATGGTTCCCAGATCTATTCATCCACCTCTAACTTCTCTGGTGGCCTCTAATCTCCTATCTCCAACTGCCTCTTGGACATCTCAAATTGGATATCCCATAGGCATCTCAAACTTAATGTGTCCAAAACAACTCATTATCTCCTCTCCTTCCTCAGAAAACTTCACTCTTCCCAAACTTCCCTAGTGTTGAAGGTACTTCCATCCTCCCAGTTGCCCAACCTCTCTGTCAAGCTTGATTCCTCCCTCTCAACCCCCACATCCAATATGGTGCCGAGGCCTGTCCATTTCACCTCTCCAGCATCTCTCCTAGATTTCACCTTTGCAGAATCTCTCCTCCATTTCACCTCTCAAGCATCTCTTGTGGATTTCACCTTTCCATCATCTCTCGTAGATTTAGCCTCTGCAGCATCTCTTGTGGATTTCACCTTTGCAGAATCTCTCCTCCACTTCACCCCTCCAGCATCTCTTGTGGATTTCACCTCTCCAACATCTCGTGGATTTCACCTTTGCAGAATCTCTCCTAGATTTCATCTCTCCAGCATCTCTTGTGGATTTCACCT